CCAGGGCCATATCTTATGCAGGATGTGCTGGCCAGGTCTTTCTGTTCCTCTTCTTGATCTCAGCAGAGTTTTTGATCTCACCATCATGTCCTAAGACTGCGGCATTGCCATCTGCAAACCCCTGCACTATGGGACCCTCTTGTGCAGTACAGCTTGTGTCAGGATGTTAGCAGCTGCCTGGGGCAGTGAGTTTCTCAGTGCTCTGCTGCACACCGCCATACACTTGTGCTTCCACTCTGCCAAGGCAATGCTGTGGACCAGTTCATCTGTTAAATCCCCCAGACCCTCAAGCTCTCCTGCTCAGACTCTTAACTCAGGTAATTTGGGCTTATTGTAATTAGTGGCTGTTTAACCTTTCCTTGTTTTGTTGTCAGCATGCAGTCCAATGTGCAGATTTTCAGGACAGTTCTGAGGGCAACCTCTGAGCAGGGTGAGATGAGGTTAGAGCACGTAACAAGGGTTTCGGGTGTTTTCAGGTTAGGGTTTAGGGATTGGAGCTCACCTTTCAGGGTGAGGAACAGGCTTACGGGGAGGGTTTACTGTTCTGCCTGTGATATCTGGTCAGTGTTTTGAGGATGGGCTAGCTTTGTGGGTTAGGGTTTAATTTAGGGCTGGGGTGAGGGCTAGGTTTAAGGCCAGCATTTTCATGTGAGGGGTAAGGGCTAGGGATTAATGAGAACAAGTGGGTAAGAGTAAGGGTAAGAGACTGCAGGTTTGGGTTTGGGCTTCAAGGTAAACTTTGAGGTGCTAGGGATTAGAACAGTGGGTTCCTGTTAGGTTGAGGGGTTGCATTTAGCATCAGATTAGAGCTTAAGGTTAGTGGTTATAAATAGGGAAATGGCCTAACACAAATGTTTTCATAGTCAGTGATGCAGCAGCAACAATATTACCTGAACACCTTTTATATTTTAAAGTCTTTCCTCTCTGTTGGTCACTGTGGTGGTTTTACTCGGGTGAGCAGCCAAGTTCCACCACGGCCGCTCTCTCACTCCACCTCCTCAAAGAGGAAAGGGGAGAAAATACGACAAAAACAGCTCAAGGTTTGACATAAGAATGACTTAATTAAAGGGAAAAGGGAGAGGAAAAGAAAAGGAAAAAAAAAATCAAGGGCCACGCAGAAGCATAGAGAGAAAGAAAAGCGGTTTCTCTCTACTTCCGTCAATGAGTGATATTCGGCCACGTCTTGGGAAGCAGGGCCTCAATACGTGTAGTGGTTGTTTGGGAGGACAGATGCTTCCACCACAAGATCCGCCCCCTCCCCCCCCCCCCCCTTCCCCCTTCCCACCTTCTATTGCTGAGTGTGATATCATATGGCATGGAATATCCCTTTGGTCGGTTTAGGTCAGCTGCCCTGGTGATGTCCCCTCCCCATCATTTGTCCACCCCAGCCTGCTGGCTCTTGGGAGCTTGGAGGGAGTCCTGATGTGGTGCTAGCATTGCACGGCAATAGACACAACACTGGTGTGATACCAGTGCTGTTCTAGCTACACGTGCAGAGCACAGCACTCTGTGGGCTGCTGCAGGGAGAGGTGACTCCATCCCAGCCAGACCAGCACAGTCACAGAAATGACCTTTAGTGGGATGTAAAAGGACACATGCTGTAGAAAGCCCCCGCAGTAAGGGAAATGGGAACCTACTGCTTAATGAGGTGGGTGAACCTCATGAAGTTCAACAAAGGCAAGTGCAGGGTCCTGCACCTAGGGAGGAATAACCCCAAGCACCAGTACAGGCTGGGGGCTGACCTATCATAGAATCATAGAATCATAGAATATCCTGAGTTGGAAGGGACCCTTAAGGATCATCAAGTCCAACTCTTGACACCGCACAGGTCTACCCAAAAGTTCAGACCATGTGACTAAGTGCACAGTCCAATCTCTTCTTAAATTCAGTCAGGCTCGGTGCAGTGACCACTTCCCTGGGGAGCCTGTTCCAGTGTGCAACCACTCTCTCTGTGAAGAACTTCCTCCTGATGTCAAGCCTAAACTTCCCCTGCCTCAGCTTAACCCCGTTCCCACGGGTCCTGTCACTGGTGTTAATGGAGAAAAGGTCTCCTGCCTCTCGACACCCCCTTACGAGGAAGTTGTAGACTGCGATGAGGTCTCCCCTCAGCCTCCTCTTCTCCAGGCTGAACAGGCCCAGTGCCCTCAGCCGTTCCTCGTAGGTCTTCCCCTCCAGGCCTTTCACCATCTTCGTAGCCCTCCTCTGGACACTCTCCAACAGTTTCATGTCCTTCTTGTACTGTGGTGCCCAGAACTGCACACAGTACTCGAGGTGAGGCCGCACCAGCGCAGAGTAGAGCGGGACAATCACCTCCCTCGACCTACTAGCGATGCCGTGCTTGATGCACCCCAGGACACGGTTGGCCTTCCTGGCTGCCAGGGCACACTGCCGGCTCATATTCAACTTCCTGTCTACCACTGACCCCCAGATCCCTCTCTTCTAGGCTGCTCTCCAGCGTCTCATCGTCTCATCGACCTGCTGAAGAACAGCCCTGCAAAGAAGGATCTGGGGGTCCTGGAGGACAGCAGGCTGACCATCAGTCAACAATGTGCCCTTGTGGCCAAGAGGGACAATGGTATCCTGGGGTGCGTTCAGAAGAGTGTTGCCAGGTCAAGGAAGGTGATCCTCCCCTCTGCTCAGCCCTGGGGGGGAGGCATCACCTGGAGTCCTGTGTCCAGTTCTGGGCTCCCCAGTACCAGAGGAACATGGAACTCCTGGAGTGAGTCCAGCACAGGGATACGAAGATGATTAAGGGCTTGGAGCATCTCTCATACAAAGAAAGGCTGAGAGATCTGTGTCTGTTTAGCTTGGAGAAGACTGATATGGAATCTTATCAATGTGTACAAATATCTGAAGAGAGGGTGTCAAGAGGATGGGGCTGGACTCTTTTTGGGGGTGCCACATTTCTTTACTGTAAGGGTGACAGAGCACTGTAACAGGTTATCCAGAGAGGTTGTGGAGTCTCCTTCTTTGGAGATATTCAAAACCTGCCTGGATGTGATCAGACCCCTATCCCCTGCTTTGTCCTGCAGACAGCTTCTGGGGATAGAGAAAGGTCCAGGAACATCTTTGCAGGTTCTAAACAACAGCTCAGAAAAAAAAACAGTGCAGGCTGTAAGTAGAGATTAGTGAAGGCATACTCTAAGGTTCATCACCAGCTGATTTCTCTCTCAGTGTAGGACTCTGCATGTTAGCATGTAGCCTTCCTACCACCACCCTCCCAGTCAGAGCAGGCAAATGAAGGCAGAGGCTCTAAAAATTGCTTTATTTTTTCCAGGTAGCGCTTGCCTCGAGCTTCCTTCCCAAAAGTCCCCTGGGAAATGCCTTGGGGTGATGTGGAGCTTTGAGTACCCTGTCCCATGCAACAGCCTCTTGACAGCAGAAGAGAGGCTGCTTTGGAAGGCTTTCACCTTTGGAAGCCATCCAGCAGGACCCCTTCTCTTCTAACCCTACCAATGCACTGTGGCCCTTTATCATGGCACCTTTGGGCAAAGTGGGGAAGGGCCTGTGCAGGCATTCTGCAAGGGAACTTGTGCTCAGGTGCCTGGAACACCTCCTGCTCTCCTTCTGCATTGACCTTGGTGTCTCACTCCACGCTCTCCCAGCTGATGTTGCACAGCAGCTTCTTTGTTTTTCCTTTTCTTAATCTGCTCTCCCAAAGGCACAACCAGTGTCTGTCTCTCACTGGCTTGGCTCTGGCCACCAGTGGGTCCCTTTTGGAGCTGGCTGGAGCTAGCTCTGATCTGCCATGGGGCTGCTGCTGGGCTCTGCTCACAAAGGCCACCCCTGCAGCCCCTATCCCAACACCCCTGCCACTACCAAAACCTTGCTACACAGGCCCCATTCCCTGATTGACTGGATAGACTTACAGTCAGACTGTCGTTTGGAATATGCATTCTCCAAAAATCCACAATGCCTAAGGAAGCTTGTTTCTTTCTCAATAGTTGGTGGTATCGCGTTAAGGGGTGTAGCCAATTAGCAGTTACAGGTCCGGTTGGATTCGGGGTACTGAACTATCATGGTCACAGATTCACCAACAATACAACATGTCCTCACTCTAGTCACGTTCAATGCGAACTATCATGGCTACGAACAATGCAGTTAAGTGCAATTTATTACAGCAACAGGTACACAGGTTCTTTGGATTACCGGTGATAATTTACTGTCTGCAAAAGCAAGCTGGCATGCATGAAATGCACAGGTACACAGGCTGGCTATTAACATATTAAAATGCACAAAGACTCTATAGGGATTTCTAAGTTTCCATGGAGACACCTGGTATAACCAAGTGTTCAAATCTCACCCAAAGGCATCCCAATGTGGGGGGAAGAGGAGGCTCAGCCCGCTGACTGATGCCAGTCAGGAAATAGATTCCTTTGCGATGGTATCTCCCCTCATGATGGTATCTTCCCTAACATCCTCTCTCTCTTAAGCCAATTCTAATTATTTTCTATCTTTTAGGTAGAGCTTGAGCGACTCTAGTCAAGTGTATCTTGGTTATGATTGGTAAAAAGTTTTCTCGCTTTCGTTTAAAGGTATAGGCTCCAAGAAATTCAGAGCACGTGCTCAGTGAGGGGTGGTCACACCTTGGAGGCAGGTAGCTTTTGGGATGGAGGTGTGTTCTGGTACTATAATGATATTGTAATGAGCAAAAGTTCACTGGAGTACTGCATTTTGTCAAAAACATGACAGGTCATTGGTCAGGGTAGCAAATGTGCAGCTTACCGGTCTTGGTGTGCACAAGAACAATCGAGTCCCCAGATGCTCAGAGAGCCTAGCTGTGGTATCTCCACTCCGTTCTACACTCCGTACTGTTCCTTAGAGTCAGCACACTAAGTTCCCCTTGTGCAGTAACATCTAAGGTTGGAAGCGTAGGGAATGCTTAGGTAGTGCAGCTACACTCAACCCCGAAAGCTTCTTCAATACTGTACATTTTCTTTAAAATGTGAATATCCGTTTAATTTTTCCAAGTCACTTTAAGCAATTACTCCACAACAGCCAAATGTGAAATGTTTTATGAACAGATAGGCCAAAGCTTTACAACCTTTAGTTTGACAGAAGGAAGTTTAAAAACTTTGTAACTGTAAATGATGATCCAGGACTGGGAGTCCTCTGAAAAGATTAGGTGAGGAACTCGTGGCACGCATCTATCCCAGGACTTGTAAATGAAGTAGCTTATTGTGGATGCCTAAGAGTTGACTATCACAGTATCAAGGAACATTGGAAGAACCTGAAAGAGAGTTTCTTAGACTGACTTTTACAGTAAGAGGTGGGCCTGCGCCCAGATGCGACACTGGCTGCACTGGGAATGGGGATAATGGGGTTCTGGGAGTAATGGGATCAGGACATAGGCACTGGAAGGGACACAATGGGGATCACACGATAGGACCAATGTAGTCCTGGGAGCACTGGGAATGGCGATAATGTGTGCACTGGGATGAAACTGGTAAGGACAGTGGGAGCACTGAGATGATGACAATGGGGCACTGGGATGGGGCTGAGAACACCCGTAGGTGGCCCTGGAGCACACTGAGACATACTGGGACACAGTGGGCCCTGCTGCAACCCCAATGTTTCATGACGCCCCCCCCCCCAAAACACTTCGTGCACCCCTACCCCACTCAAAGTCCCGCCCAAGTGACCCCCTCTCATAAAGGCCCCCCATTCACCCTGTGTGACGCAAGGCAGTGCTAGGCACAGGGGGCGGCACATACAGACCCTCCCCCAGAAGTGGGGTACTGTGGGGGAGGGGGACTTCACTGGGGGCATTTGTGTGCACCCCCATGCCCCATGGTACAGGGGTGAGTAGCTTCCATGGGGGCGGTCCAGTGCTATGCAGGGGGAGCTGCGACCTGGTGTCCTGGTTTCAGTTAGCACAGAATTAATTTTCTTCCTAGTAGCTGGTGGAATGCTGTGTTTTGGCTTAGGATGAGAAGAGTGCTGATAACACCCCGATGCTTTAATTGTTGCAGAGCAGTGCTTATACTAAGCCAAGGACATCTCAGCCTTTTGCTCTGTCCTGCCAACGGGCAGGCTGGGGGTGCAGTAAGAGCTGGGAGGGGACAGACCCAGGACAGGTGACCCAAACTAGCCAAAGGGGTATTCCATACCATCTGACGTCATGCTAAACAATATATAGGGGTGGCTAGCCGGGGGGAGGGGGCCAGACTGCTCGGGGTTAGGCTGGGCATCGGTCAGCGAGTGGTGAGCAATTGCATTGTGCATCACTTGTTTGTACATACTATTACTTTCGTATTATCACCATTGTATCATTATTATTATTATTGTTATTATTATTTTGTTATTATTATTTTCCTGTCTTATTAAACTGTCTTTATCTCAACTCACGGGCTTCACTCTCCATTTCTCTCCCCCGTCCCAGAGAGGGAGGGGGGAGGGTGAGCGAACGGCTGCGTGGTGTTTAACTGCCGGCCGGGTTAAACCACGACACCTGGAAAAAGCAGAGGGGTGTTTCCTGGGGGGCTGGCACTGCAGGATGGGGTGGCTGGGCTGGGGAAATGACCTGGTGCCTTGGCTCCCAGCCTGGCCCCTGCAGGGAAACCATAGGGCAGGGGTGTATTTATTGTGCCCCAAGCACTGTGCTCCTCCCACAGCCCACCCACACTTTGCCCTACAGCCCCACACTCCACTCCATAATTCCCCCCTCCATCCCCTTTCCCCTTTCCTGCCTAACCCCGCTCCACACTCACCCTACCCCACCTCCCCATGCGCTGCTGTACCCACTATGGGGCTTGGGCTCCCATGTGCCCCACAGCAGGGTCCGGTCACTTTACCTGGGGCTTCTCACAGTGTGGGGGATCTCAGGTAGCTCAGCTCCAGCCATGGAGTGATGTGGGGCAGGAGGCAGAGCAGTGCCAGCAGCAGCACCAGTAGCAGGTGTGGGAGGAGCCTGCAGGGGCACTCAGTGGTCTGGGGGGAGATCTGGGGGGTGCAGCACCCCTCCAAACCTCCAGGGCTTTTCTTGACCCGCAGTGTGGGGTGGGACCCCCACTTACCACCATTTACGCCGGCATTTCTGGTCCACACACTGGGACGGCTGTGGGGAACATGGTGATTGAGGGGGCGGTGACACGGCCGTTCCTCCTCTGCCCCCTTCTTGACATTTTCTAGGGGAAAAGATGTGATTCTGATGATTCCTACCTCCCTCCACGGCTCTGTGCTAAGCAGCTGTGCCTCAGGCTCTGGGGCTCGCCTGTGGGAGGAAGAGGCTGGGGGGCTGGAAACTGGGGCAGTGATTGGCATTGGGGGTGGTGGTGGTGATGGACCCTGGGGGATGCGGGGAGGGCTGGAAAGTGGGGGTGGGGTGAAATGGGCAGTATGGGCAAGGGGTAGATGGGAATTCTGGGGGACCCAAAGCACCACGTGCCCTCACTCCATGCCAGTGCAGGTTTGCAGGGGTGACACTTGTGTCCACGGTCTTTGCATTCCCACATTTTATTACGATTCTACCCATTTGTTTCCCTCCCACCTTCCTACTCCTTAAGATTCTGACCGCCCTGATTTCTAGCATGCAGCCCCAAAAAGCAGCTGGCGGCCGTCTGCCCTGACCTCCACCTCACAAATATGTATGGTGATTGAGGCTGAGCTAGAAGGAAGGATGAAAACGCAGATTTGGGAGTTTATAGGGGCATTTTCAGCCAGTGAGAGCCCTGTGTCCCCCCAAGTACCCACAGCACCTACGTGGCCAAAGCCTCCAGTGTCTGCCTCAGCAGTCTGTGGAGGCTGCTGATCTCCATTTGTAGCTCCTTGAGTTTGGGGGAAGAAAAAGACTTTGTTAAGGTTTCTCCCATTTCTCCTCTCCATTTTGCTGGATTTGGGGACTTTGTGGGGGCCATGCCCACACAGCGCCCTCGTAGTGCTGCAAAGCCTCCATCAGGTCCTGCATGCCACACGTCATCTGCAGAATTGGGGGAACAGCAACAAATTTGGGGTGCCGGTGGTGGCTCCCATCCCTTTGGAGCCCTGGGGAGCCTTTTCACTTGAGGGGAGGGATCATATTGCTCACCTTGGCAAAGGCGGATTGTGGCAGGACACCACAGCAATGCAGCAGGGCTGGAGACCATGGCCACATTGGCCTCCACAGATGGGCATAATGGGAGAGGGGCCTGCCAGCCTCATGTGTTGTCCCCCCCCAGCTGAGGGAGCTGGTTTGTTAGCATGTGATAAGGCTCGGATGCCTCTTACCTGCAGGATGGCATCCTTCTGTGCCTCTGGTGCCTGCAGATTCTCTTTTCTTCCCTTGGCCTCAGCGAGCAGCGCTGAGTTCTGCTCCAGAGGAAAGTGGGTTGATACCCAGTGAGACTGGACTGAAAGCTGCTGGTGGTGCATTGGGGTGGGGACACAGTGCTGCAGGGCACCCCTGGTTCTTTGTTCCCGTCCTCACCATCTCCTGAAGGCCGGTGACTTCCTCCAGAAGGCCATGCTGCTCCCTTTCCTGGAAGGGAAAAACTGTGCCGTTAAGTTGCTAGGGGCAGCCCCATAATTTGCGGGGTTCAGCCCACTAGTTGGAGGGCATGCAACTGGAGGCTGCACACCACCAGGGCTGGCCCTGCTGAGGCCAACACAGCCCCACTGCCGAAGGCAGGGCAAAGGCCAGCGACCAGAAGCCAGGAGTCACCACATCACCTTGGCATTGTTTTAAGAGGAAAAAAAGGGAACATGAGCAACAGAGTTGCTGAGCAGCTGTTGGGGGGCACTCACCAGACGCTGATTTTGTTCTATCAGGCCTCTCTTCTCCTCCTGGAGCTGTCTCACCTCATCCTCCAAGTCTTCCAGCTTTTGGCTGGATGCCCAGCCATGCTCCAATGCCTGATGGGCCCTGCAAGAGACAGATGGCCGCTGGTAGTCACCCGGCAGCACTGCTGCAGAGACGCATCTGCAGCTTCCCACATGTCCCTGTCCCCTGCTCCCAGCACCTATGAGTTGTGACAGGTGTTGCAGGCGCAGAGCTGAAATGCCCACATTTAGCTTGAAATGCCCAGTGTCAAGGCACAGAGCCATAATTCCACTGTATGCTCCAGGCACACCCAGTTTCCAGGCATGGAGCTGTAATGTCGCCATTTGAAGCACTGCCCCCACTCGCCTCTGTTTCCCCAAGCGCTCACCCGTCCTGCTGACAGTGGGCGATCCACTCACGCATGACAGCGCGGAAGGTGGGCAGATCCAGGGCTACCCCTGCTGCTGTCAGCTCCAGCATCTGCCTGAGCTCCTGCAGCTGCTGCTCCTCGCCGCTACGCCCCATCACGGCCTGCAGGTACTCCACAATGCGCCAGGCTGGCACCACACCTGCCATCAGAGGCAAAGCTCACCACATGCCCTGCGTCTGTCGGGCAGCGCGCGCATCCATCGGGCTGCCCGTGCATCCACCCATTGGGCTCCAGCCCCCCGCGTGTGTTCCTGCGGCGTCCCCCGGCTTCCGCGTGCCATTCAGAAGGTGGAAACAGGCACCACAGAGTGAGAAGGAGGCCACGGGGTGGAATCAGGGTCCCGGCACCGCTACCTGTCTGCTCCACGTCACAGGCAGCAAAGGCGCAGTCCAGCAGGGACTCCTCCAACCAGCCACCCTCGGCCCCGGCTGTGGGAGGGCAACGGGAGAGGTTACGGGGCCCGACGTGGTGCTGCCTGGCACGGCAGGACGCCACGCGCACCTTTGGGGCCATGCTGGGGCCACCTCATTCTCTGGGGGGCCGCCTAACGCCCCTCTGGGCAGCAGGCAGTACGTACTTGCTGCACTGTCTCCGCTCTCCATGCTCTCACGGCACTGAGGGGACCCCAAGGCTTCTCCTCACAGCCCCGAGGGAACAGGCGGGAGCCCCGGCCACCTCCCGCCCTGTTGGGGAAGGGGCGTGCCTACTCGCAGCCCTACCAGGGCTTGGAGCCGGGCACCAGCACTTTGCTGAGCTTGCGAGGCCTCGGGCCTCTGGCCTGCTTGGGCAGAGCTTCTCCGCAGCACTGGGAGGCTTGGTTTCTCCTTTGTTTAATTGGAACAGCAGTCCCTCTACTGAGGAGGTGGCAAGCATCGACTGATAGAATGGACTGGGGTGGAAGGGACCTTCAATATCATCTAATTCCACCCCCCGCCGCCACAGCCAGGGACACCTTCCACTACACCAGCTTGCTCAAAGTCCCATCCAGCCTGGCCTTGAACACTTTCTGGGAAGGTGCATCCACAGTTTCTCTGGGCAACCTCTTCCTAGGACTCACCACCATGGTAAGAAAAGAATTTCTTCCTCATATGTCATCCTTTAAAATTCAAACCATTGCTCCTTGTTCTGTCATCACCCCTTCAAGCTGCTGAATGGTCCACCCTGACACACAGGAAGAAAGCAAAGTGGCAGGAGGCTGGCACAAATGCGAAAGTAACTCCTGACCAAAATCAACAGGAGGAGGCAGATTGGGACTGCTTCCCAGCCTCAAAGACTCAGTGATTCTGTACAGGAGAAACTCGTTATGGTTTGTGTGTTTAGGCAATGGGAGGGGATCGTGGGGCAAGCTCCTGGCTAGACAGAGGGTCTAAGTCCAGTTGCTGGGGGGTGATCCATATTGTAGGTGTGTCTGTGTAGGTGTATGTTTTCCTGGAAAATACCCTAACATACAAAGAGCCAAACATTCATTCACTGTGATCCCGGTTTTTGCTTGCTTTGTAGTATCACTGAGTGTTTCAGAGATGGTTCTTATAGTAATTCCTACCTGGGTTGGAAATTCCACTAAACAAATAACCTCCTTTAGTGCCTGTAGTGTACTGACACTCCTCGCAATGTTATCTTATGAGAGTCACCACCATCACGGTGAGCCATCTGCACCCAACCACGAACAGGTGACAAAATGGAGCTTCAGTGCAGGGGGACCTTGGGAATCTCCAGCCTTCAGCCAAAAGAAACCCCCTGAAGTTGGCAAGGAGCAGTGGCCAGTGCTGCATGTGGGGCAGAATACCATCAGGGCAGGGCTGGACCTGAGCAGCTGAGGGGGGACCCTGGGGAGAAGGGCCTGTGTGCTATGAGGACACCATAGGAGCCAGTGGGACATGCTGACAGGGATTAAGGCCAGCTCCTTATGGGGCTGCATTAGGGGCAGCAGGGTCCCCCTCGACTCAGTGCTGCTGTGGCTATCTCTGGAGCAGTGTGGCCCAGGACTCAGTTCCAGGTTTTAGAGAAGTGCAGAAAAACTGGAGAGTGTGGAAGGGAGGTCTGCCAAAGTGGGCTTCAGGGCTTGAAGCACATGAGATGGAGAGGTTTAGAGACCTGGCCTCCTTTGGCCCTGTGGCATGGAGGCTCCAAGCAGCAAAGTATGCAGAGACTGCTTGAGAAGTGCTTTCAGACACATAGGTGCTTTTCCTCCTACTAGGAAAGAGCATGAGAAAGAATGAATATCACAAAATGCAGCGGGGGGCATTGAGACTGAGGTGGAGAAAGGTTTATTGAAGGACAGAGCTCACCCAGAGCCCCTGGCTTTGTGTTTCATGGATTACTGAGGGCAGATGGAGAGACATTAGTCAAGGCTGGAATATGGGTGACCCATTCGGTGATAAACTAGAGCAGATTGATATGGCAGTGCACTAATGGTAACCAGGCTAGAGTAAGAGGAAGTGGGAACCCATAGGAAGTTTCTAGGCTCGGATGGGCCTATAGAGAGCTACACCTGATCGAAAGGAATGCACCAATCAGAAGTCTGTAACAATGCCTGCTAGCCACATGCAGCAGGTGTAGCTGGCTCAGAAGCTATATAATGTCTTGCACTGGAAAAAGAAAGGGTCTCCAGTTCTCAACTGTCTTGGAGCCCATGTCATCATTCCCTTCAAACAGTAACCCCAGCGTGATAAGGGGAAGAGCAATGCTGCACGAGTGTCTGAAGGGAGCCCAGCCGAACGAATCAAGCTTGCAGCCAGACTGCAGCTTCAACCCCGGGACATCTCCTGAAGGACAGGTGAGCGGCTGGGCATTAACAGTGGGAGCAAATCTTTCAGCAGCAGAAGAGGCTATAGTAAAATTATTAACACAACTATTAGTAAAAAGAGGTGTAAAATATGACCCATTTAAGATAAAGCTACTGTTGAAGTTTTTGCAAAAACAAGGGGTCCCCTCGATGGCCTCAGCTGTATTCGATGTAAAGACTTGGGAACAACTGGGGGAGAAAGCGTGGGAGGCAGCATCAAGTGGGGATACAACTGCCGCTGAAGGTATGATCACGTGGTGCCTGGTAATGGAGACTTTAAGGGCATGGCAGGTGGAAAAGAAGGTACAGAACGCTGCCGCCCAGACGATCCTGACAGTAGCTCCATGATCAGAGTCTGATAAGCCACCAGAGCAGGACAATTTAATAGTTTTTGGGGATGATCAAAAGGAGAGCTGCGGAACCACACTGCTAAGCCCTATTCTCTGAACCCCCTCGGCTCCCACATTGCTCCCCTTAACAATACCTCCTTGGGAGCTCGACTTCTGATCCACAGGAACAATGGGAGCAGGTGCA